ACGTAAACGTAAAGTACGTTAACGTTAATTTTAACGTAAACGTAAAGTACGTTAACGTTAATTTTAACGTAAACGTAAAGTACGTTAACGTTAATTCTAACGTAACGTTAATGTGACAGTCCTAGTTAAAAACGAAAAAAAAAACGCGTTTGTTTGTCAACTTTTTTATCGAAAATGTTGATTTTCAAGAATCTTGAAAATCAAGAAAGATTTTCATGTTTGTTGAAAATCTTCTTTAATTTTTTATAACTCCAATGATTAACGTCACTGGAACGGACGAATCAGAAGCAAGATGTGTTTATAAAACTGGCAATTCTATAGTTATTGCCGCAGGCATGGCAGAACTGACTAGCGAAAATCACCGCAGAGTTGAAAACCGTTTGTTTTGGGCCTGAATTCTTATTTTTTAGATTTCGTTTACGAAATGCTGCCTCCTGTTTCCATTGTGCGTGATCACTCGCGAATGCAGGCTTGCTTTTTTAGTTTAACTGCTGAAAGTTGTTTCTCGCTCGATATTTTAACATAGTTTTTTTCTGTAGATGTCTTTGTTTGCTGCTGCTTTTTCATTAATGTACATCTGCTCAATGGCTTTCAACTTCTCCGCACTTTCTTCAGATTTTGAAAGATGTTACTTCTGGCAAGTAGTTTGGTCAAAAACATTGCCACAAGCGATTTACCAAGAGGAGAAAATGTAGAGAATGTTGCTAAATCATTCAGTGGATGTACGATCGAGCGTTTACTACAAATATACAGATTTCTTTGGAACAATTCATTCTGTTTATATAACAGATCTTTAACGTCTGCGCTAAAGTCTGATCCAAGGAAGGAGTGCACTACTTTTTGAAAGTTATTATAGAAAATCCATGTCGATTTTTAGAATCTTGAAAATCAACGGCGATTTTCTATAAATAATTCTCAAGATTACAGTGTATAGTCTAGTTAACGCAGTTTTATATAGAGAACAGGAATATAGTCTTGGCTTTGAAAGTGATTAAAAGGAAATGAAAATATAAACGTTTTTTTAATGTCATGACAAACTCAAGCCTATATCTAAACAAAACCGTATCTAATCATGATGGACGCGATTTTTGACGAAACCATCAGGATAATAACAAGAACATCTACGAATATTTTATTATTAAAAAAAGTTACTAGCATTTTTTACATAATCTCTCAATGATCATGGAGTACTTGAACAAACTTATGTTAAAAAAATGGGTGTTATTGTGCATCTTACTCTTCTCTGTTTGGTGCTACAAACCGATTGTTCAAAGATTACTTTGTTTTAGAAATACGAGGTTTTTACTATTAACATAGCGAAAATGAGTAATCATCAGAAAAGTCCATTTTCCATCATGTGCCAATGATTCCAAAGGGGAAAAGAAGAAGCTGGTTAGATTCGTCGTGAGACAGGCGACACACCTCACTCAAAGACTATTGGTGGCTATTAGGATGACAGATTTTCAAGGCAATCCGGCGAGGTCCTTATTGAGTCATATGTCCATTCATTAACTAAAGAAATCACTTTTTTTAAGTGGAATAAAACACCAAAATAATTAATTTTAATTTCTAATGTTAAACACATAAAAACACGTTAGGTAACTTACTACAAGATAAAGAATACCGCCACAAAAAATTATCCTTTTTTTTTTACGCAATAAAATATTAAATTATTGCTGACATCTACAGATGTGTTTAGTTTCTTTTTCTGTCATCATTAGTTCACATATTCGTCTTATGTCTTTGATAATATTTTGTGATGAACGCAATGCGTTGTTTATAAGATTATCTTATTTCTATTAACTTAGTCTAACTATCCATCAAGGAAGAGATAAAAAAAAAAATAAGAAGAAGAAAAAGAAAAATCTATCTATCTAAAATCTTTTTTGTTTTAACTGTTCATTTATACCAGGCAAAAAACTCGTTGTTCGCAGTTTTTCCTATTTTTATAGAAAATAGAAATATATTGCAGACAATAATGTAAAAAAAGTTTGCTTAACGAAAAGAATGGCATTTTTAAAAATGGTAAGCATTGACACTTTGACAAGATTTGTTTCCTTGTAATAAAATAAAAATTAAAAAAATGATAGCTCTATTAGAGCAGCCTGAGGACGGTAGTAAATCGAGTCAATTCTCTCATTATGCTAATTATTAAGTTATTGTAATAGTAGAGATAAATATATCAATGTTTTACAATAGCTTTTTCTTCAAAAATTTAAATAGTAACTTTGAAGTTTTCTTCAAAAGCTAGTCATTTTTTCTCGCAATATAGATCAGTAGCAAAGAATTTTGTTTTTAGAATATAATCAGATTCAAACAATCCACACATGACTTGTCTATCATAAATGAATGTTTTATTTTTAATTTTTTTTTAAAAAGAATTCTATAAGGATATTGCAAGTTTTATTATTCTTACAGAAAACTCTAAATTACTATTTATTGTTAACATTTTTCATTAACAAATCTAAGTTTAAAAAAAAGATGACGAATTAGTGTATATTATTCAGGTGTCAAATTGATGACATACAAAAGAACACATTTTTCAATGCGTCACGTTTTATCGTTTTTATTATTATTCATTTTCAAATAAACCTATCAATGGAGTAGAATTTTACAAATAAACACATCGTTCACGAAGAAAATTTCTTCTCACAGACATATTTGCACTATTTTGGTTTATGTGTAGACATACCTGATGCGCTGACGATGTAGAATAGAAAAACAAAAGCCTTACACAACAGTTGGTAATATGACTCATAGACTAAATGATATTACTGACAGAAGAAATGACTAATAAAAATTTATATCTAGACACACCATCACTCTCTCTCATTATATATCTTATAAATACAGGCTAAGTGAACGATCAAACGTACAAATTATATAAAAAGATTAATTACAGATAATTCTCGGTAAGAAGTAGAAAATAATGGATTCTCACTCTTCAGAATTAAATATATTTTCTCTATCGTATACTAGAAGATCCTATTTTTTGTTTTTGACAAAGATTACTCGAAAGAACGTACAGAATTTTCTCAATACCTGTAACTGATAATTAACTTTTCCATTTTCACTAAAATTTATTCTAAATTAAAAGAAAAAAAACAACTATGTAACAATAATTATCAATTAATTTTTCTTTTTTCGCACAAAAAATACACAAGTCCACTATGACCGTTTTCATTTACTGAATTTTATATTCAGGAAAACTTTTTATATGACTATTGTATAAAATTTGTTAATATTAGACAGATTTTTCTTCTTTTATAGTTCAAATTACGTAAAATGAGTGGAATTAATGTTGAAAAACCAGATCGACCAGAATTGGCAAAACATGACAGTTCTATACTAGGTAAACATTTGTTTTGAAAACGAAATTTTCCTATCTATAACTAGAAATTATTCTTTTTTTTCTTTTAGATTTAGCATTTGCCATGGATTGTACAGGTAAATAATTCTATTCAAAAAGAAAATTTGTCATAATTAATATCGTTATTAATTTGTTATTAGGTTCAATGGGTTCATATATCGCGAGTGCAACGCAAAATATTCGAAGTATTGTCGAAGAAATTGTCATAAGTGAAAAATCAGATATTAGATTAGCGTTAGTAGAATATCGCGATCATCCTCCACAAGATACCTCATTCGTCACTCGTGTCCATGATTTTACGACAAGAGTAAGCGAAATGAAAGGATGGCTAGAACAATGTTCAGCACAAGGTAGGCATTTTTAATTGTTTTTAAGATAATAATTATTGAAAATTCTTTTTAACGTTAACAGGAGGAGGAGATACACCCGAGGCCGTCGCAGGTAAGTCGAGTATAAGCATTTTTTAATTTAAAACATATATTACGTTATATTTTTCGTGCTTGTTTTAGATGCTTTACATGATATACTAAAATTAAATTGGAGAGAAGAAGCGACAAAAATTTGCATATTGATTTCAGACGCTCCTCCACATGGTCTTCATACATCCGGTGATACGTTTCCAAACGGTATGTGTTTATTTTTTACTTCTCTTATGAAAGACTAATTTTAGTAACATTTTTTCATCTAGGCTGTCCCAATGGATTAGATCCAATCAAAACAGTGCGTGAAATGGCTGAGAAAAGCATCACATTATATGCTGTTGGTGTTGGTAAGTACATTATAATCAATACTGGTCATCTGCTTCCTTGTTTATCATCTCATGATAAGAACTAGTTCATATGTCAAATTTACATTCATGAGTAAAACACTCTGGTGTAGTCAACACGTTACAAGTTGTTTGAACCACAAAATTTGCTACAAAAATATGAAATAGAATTTTTTTCTTTTTATTTAGAACCTCCAATCGTTCCTTACCGAGATTTCTTTATGTCAATCGCTTATATCACGGGTGGTCAGTACGTTCCAATGCAAAATGCCAAATTATTAGCTCAAGTTATTATTGGTGGTGTAAGAGAAGAAATATCGATTGATAAATTGATGCAAGATGCCCAACATGATATTGACAAAGAAATGGAAAAAGCTGAATTAGACGGTGTCGATGAGCGGGAAAAAGCAACACGTATAAATCGAATATTTGCACTGAAAAATATGAAAGTAAAACAAATCAAAAATCCCACAGCAATGTCATCCATAGCCAAAGAATGTTATTCAAAATGTTCTGATATGGATGATTTGAAAAGAAATTATAAAATGGAATCCTCACCAACAATACGTAAAGACTTTATTTTTAAATCATTTTCATACTTTTGAAAAACATTTTGATGTTTGTTTTATTTCAGAGACTCTATCAAAAAGTTATGGAAAATCGGACGTTATGGAACCTTCGGCAGCAGCTGGTGGAGGTTATGGTGGATTACTATCGAGTGTCACCGGATGGTTCAAAAGTGGAAAAAAAGAGTCCGACGATATACTACCAACTACGAGTAGCGTAGATACAATGAATACTGCAACTGCCGATTTAACCTATGATCTAAAAGAAGAGGAAGATGTCAGTATCGAACAAGCAGAACGTATTGTTCAAAAGTGGCAAAATAGGAAATAAAAGATGTTCATACAAATAAATACATTGTTTCTTGCTAATCTTTTCTTTGTTTAATATTTTTATTTTTTTGTTATTGTTTCTATATAATTTCGACGTATAAAGTACATACTTACTAGCTCAGAAACGGCGATAAAAAGCGACTTGTATCGTTTACTTTATGAAGTCAGTCGAAAGGAAAAGACTGGCTTGATCTTTCGAAATGCTAAGATTTGCCATTTACTCTAAACAAAGTGAGCCTGATACACTTTCTACGTACTAAAAAAATACAGCGAGTCTACTTAATCATCTATAGGTAAAAGAATGATTTTAGCTTTTATTATCTGAAAAATAAATAATAATCTAAAACTCAGTTTATCACGTTTCAAAACACACTGTTTTAATACAAGTGAAAAAAGTAAAAAAAGTAAATATAATTTTATAATGAAAAATCGGAGTATAAACTGTTTTAAATATCGACAAGTTTTGTTGTTAAATAAAAAATAGATAGACAAAAGTAAAACAAACGAGAAAGCGATCTTCATAAATGTGATGATTAGAAGAAAAAACAGTTCACTAGAAAAAGAAAGACCAATCAATAATAATTTACCTAAACAAAGGGCCATCGGAATATTTTTATTGTTTATTCTTTATTCAAAATACTTAATGGATGGATAAGACCACCGTTTTTAATATAAAGAAACCATTTCAGTGGTTCTTGACTACGTAATTGACCTTTATTTGAGCATTCTTCGATTTGTTCATATGTTACCCACATGGCACCATAGCTAGGAAAAGATAAATCGTGCAACATATAACTGGAAAGTGAGAAAAAGTCCTATCTTCGCTTACGTGCAGACATGCAACAAGTCCAGACGCGTGACCTCAATCCTGTTTGACGTCAAGCACTGCTTGACTTCAAATAGTACTGTAAGACAAGTACTACTTGGCTTCAAGCATGCTTGTCGAATTGTAGAAAATTTATTTTTATATTATAAAATTTAGAAATAGAAACACTTTAGATCTCATTTTGCTACACCGAAAGTATTACTAGCAATGACTCATCCTTTCTGTGAAGCTAACCAAAAACTTGTAGCAATAGTCAAGTGTTGATTGACGTCAAGCAGTGCTTGACTTCAAACAGTACTTGAGGTCAAGCACTGCTTGACGTTCAACATGCTTGTCTCAAGCGTCAAGCCCTAAGGTTTGACTTATTGCATGCTTAGTCATGTGTAATACTTTATAGTTAGCTCAAAAAACTGAGCAAACTTTTTCTGGAAAAACTGTCAAACTTCACATAAAAAGTCAATCATGCTTTCAAATACCTTTCATAATCTGGAATTGTTTTAGCATCACAATCGTTCTCGTTTTCGGGTTCAGCATAAAATATCACTCTTAAACGATTGCTGTTATGACTTGGTGTATATTCAAAACGTAACAAACCACAAATATTAACTTTAACTCCAGCTTCCTCAAATGTTTCACGCTTTGCAGCATAAATTAAATGCTCACCAAGTTCAACTCGACCACCAGGCAACTACATATAGAAATAAAAAGATAGTAGGTAAATTTAAGAGAAAGCAGTATTAAAATGTTAATAAATTTTGTTCTATACGCACCCAAAATCCTTGTGCACCAGATTCTTGTACAACGAGAAATTTTTGATCCGATTTTCTTTGGCACACAACAAGTGAAAATGCATATAATGGTGCTGCCACTCTTTCTTTGGCAGATGTATTAAAAATAGCTTTATTCGAATGTAATTCTGTATGATCTTCTCTCAAATGTACCGGATAGTTTCGAACATTTCGTTGACAAATTATACATTGTGCACTTCGAATACTTGTGTCATTTGTATGATAAAGTGGTATGTGATCATATAACTGATCAAAACTCATTGGCCATTGACAAATGGGACAAGTGTAAGTTTGAGATGTATTTAAACTATGTACAGTTAATTTTATTAGAGATATTAGCGTTTTTAAAACATTCTGAATCTGAGTAATATGTTCCGTAATCATACTTGTACCCATAGACGCAAAATGATATCTTAAAATAGAGAAAAAATTAATTATGCATGATAGAGATGTTACATATTGATCGATCTACCTCAGATCGGGATCATTGCTTGCTTTATGTGAATGTAAGATTATAAATATTCGTTTATCAAATTTTCGAATTGTTTTTATTAGTATATGACCAGCATCCTCATCTGTCTGACCTAATTTTGTGAGAACAACAAATGGACGAGGACAAATTTCTGTGATTGATGTTGAAATTGTCGAGTTTATTTTTTTAATAGCATCCTTGACTGTCAAACAATGATGAAGAATTATATCAGGATAATCTGCTTTTAACATCGATTGTACTTGAACAAGTTCAGAATTATTATATTCCGCGTATAACGCAACGATTTCTAGAGGAGGATTGGACATCGTTTTTGTTGAGGAGAAAGCAATAAAATAAAAATGATCTAAAAAATATAAACAGCAAAATATCAATAAGTATCAAAGACTGATAAGAACTAAAAAGACAGTTTGCTAGCAATTGGTTTCGACCCTGCGTTCCAATTATAGAACTCGAATGTAATTGGACGCATATTAAATGGTTTTTCTGAGTTTCCATTGGCGCGTTCCCGTAACTGAAGGAAAAGAGAACTGATGACATAACATCTCTCTCAGCAATTTCAAATAAATTCAAAGTTCACAAGGTGTTTGTCTTTAAATGGTCTTTTCAACTTTAATTCACATAAATTCTACTCACAACAAAATATCGCCTTCAATCTGTTAAATTTTCCTCCTTTTCTATCAGTCACATTAGTCTCCAACATTTTGTTCTTAGCTACGGCAGATATTTGACAAATCCTATTCATAAACGCTATTATAGCACGAGCGCGTAGATTTGAAAAATTTCTATATTTCGGCCTGTCCGCAAGTAACGCGATGACATATTTTCAGCGTCAATGTTTATTTTGTCACATTTGTGGACAAGAGTAAAAGTAAATATCGTATTATTTTATTACATCTCGATGGCTTCTATAAATGGCGTAAAAAGTTTCGGGTTACTACTTATTATTCAAATACTATAGCGTTTATACGGTCGGTAACGCGATGACCAAAAATGGAAGTTTTTTTCAGTGGCAGTTGAAGAGCTCTGATTTTCTCTAAATGTAGATGATATTGATGAGAGTGTCGAGTGGATGGTTTCAGCTATAACGTAGGGCTTTTGAAATATCAGATCGAAATTTTAATTAAGGGTTTGGTTGTTTATCTACAGATCAAAGTTATGGTAACGCGATGACATCCTTTCATGGCATCTAATAAGCTTTTTCAAGAAAACTTTATACTGCAAAGAAAACTTATCTAAAGAATAAACATAGCTCACTTGTACTTGTGCTTATGATGTGCGAAACAAACTTGAATGAGTGTGTTATTGGCACAAATTTACATCAAAAAACAAAATCTACATGAGCGAATAGCACTAGTAATAAAATATCTGCTGGATGACTAAACTAGCAATCATAAGACGAGATGCTTTCCTGCTTTAGGAAACTACGCTATACACCTCAACGACAACAAAACACGCCATTTCTAAAGTTATAGCCTGTCCTTTATGAAGTGGTATGAGCACTTTGCCGAATAACGTTATCAAACTTTGGTCATGCATGAGTACCGTTAGCCGGACAAGCCGATTTCATACATTTTGTTGTTTTTAAAGGAAAAAAAATTTATCGAAGTTTTGCATTTACAGACAAATCAAATATAATTTCATTTTCTGTTTTTCCTTTTTTTCTAATATATTGGAGTTATCGAGATATTCATCATTCTACATTACGCAGTACACTGTTTTAAGTCTCAAGAAACCACGTGTTTTCTGCTAGCGAAACCTAGGTATTAGCTTAACATTGCTGTCGATCCTTTGTTTAAAATCAGACGCTAATTATAAAATCCTATTTATTTGTGGTCTAGATCGAACAATCCATAAATGCGTGAGATATATTTGTTATTTTTGGTTTCCTTTTTTTCTGTTCTATTCTTATGATAAGTACCTCAGAAGAGTCGAGGTTCCTCTGAATTTTTAGGACGAAATAGAGATATCACATTGATCCTAATTCTCATTAAGTAATGAGAGTGAGTCATTAAATCAAAGATTGATGATGATACTTTTTTAGTATTATTATGTATGTATTCATCACGAAAAGTGAGAGTCATGAAAGGTCCCCGATCTGTAATAACAATGACTCAAGCCAATAAAAGAGTAATAACAATTAGACAAAAGAAAGTAGAGTAATGGACCGAGACAGATCAAGTAAACAAATGAAAACAAATTAAAGAAGAAAATAAAAAATTACACGAAGAAAACTTAGCACGGGTATGGATTGACTAGAAATATGGGTGTACTTTACTGCAAGACATGTTGAGATAGAGCGCTTTTAAATGATGGGAAGAAAAACAAATCAGATTCTGGTAATTTGTTCCAGTCACACCGATGATCGTTAAAAAGATGATTTTTGATTTAGTCGATGACCAGAGTATCTGTAAGTATTCTTCTCTCTCTCCTCATCTTGTGTTGTGTGCTGATTTGAACTTGAATTTTCTTGTGTCTTTTGAAATGTACAAAGTCCTTAATCTTTCTAACTCTTTCTTGTGTTCTCTTGTTGATTTTCCTGTTACTACTACTTCTAACACGTGTATTGACTATATTTTCTATCCTTCATCCTGGTATAATGTATCTTTCTCTTCC